CGCTCCTCATCCGAGGAGCTTTCTCAATTCAAAGAGCAGAGAGTGAGTGTGTGTCTTATCTCACTCAGCCTTATAACCTGTATCTCTCACTCTCTGCTCTTTGAATTGAGAAAGCTCCTCGGATGAGGAGCGAAACGTCTTCTGTTACAAATAAAGTCCAGTTGTTTTTGTATTGAACGCTTTTTGAATTTCTGTTAACTTATTTTTATATATGAATGTTGCAGTGCCCTGAGATAACTTCTGTTGTGACTTGACACTATATAAATAAAGTGAATTGAATTGAAACTAGTTTTATACTGTTTACAGTTTCATTTTCATTGTTTTATCTACCACTCAAAGCTTGTGGCTAAATAAGAAGAAAAAAATGTGATAAATATTCAAACATTTTATTTTCAAAGTAAAAAGAACCACACAGTGCCAAACGTATTAAAACTTTAGGGTAAACAACAGAAAAACATGTTCCTGGTAAATGCTTTAAAAAAACTGCCCAAGAACTGAATAGTTGTGTAAATGTGTAAATACAAAATTTCACATACAAATTAAAATTTACTGAGCAGATGTGTCATTATGGCCTCAAAACCGTGACCAGTTGTCCCAGTGTCTTCTCTTGCTGGCTAGTGCCCAAACTGTCGCATGATCAACACATCATCTACCCTCTTGCTTTTACTGCTGCTGGATGTGGTCGGTGTGGATGCAGAGAACATCTGTCTCTCCTGGGTCTCAGTTGGACTGGATGCTGTATGTTGTGCCAATCAACAGGCTTTGAGAACAACACACCTTTCAAGTTTACATATTTGTTCACTTGGTTCGGTCTTCTCTTCTTCCTCTTCAACAGCACCTGATAAAAGGTCTGAGGTTTACTTGATGCTTATATGGAGTCAACTTCATTTTTATATTAGAACTTTATTTAATTTATATCTATTCACAACCGTATATTTGAACTGAAACATTAATTCAATGCAAATTCCCATTTCTATATAAAACATTTTCTTTATGTTCATTTCCTATTTCAGCTCCCTTTGTGATTAGGTTTATTTACTGTGCAACTCTTTAGAGTGCACTCTTTTCACATGAAAAGTGAGCAGAAGAAAAGTTTTCATGTGTTTTGTCTTCAAAAAATACTACTTCCCCGTTTCCTGTGTGAAAGTTCAGCAGTTCTTTTGTGCACATTACAACCAGAAAGTGCTACCTCTTTGTTTAGTAATTGCATTCCACTGAAGTCTTCATTTCTCTTGGTGCACCTTTTTATCTTCATTATTATGTCTCTCGTCTTGGTGTCCCTTCATCTAGCTTCGTCTTTGCACAGTTTCAATATGCATCTTGATGAAATGTGAAGTTTTCCTTTCTTTGCTGAATAACTTTTCCTTCAAGTATGTTTCAGTCGTTTTGGTTAAATACAACTTTATCCATCTCAATTACTTTAACCATAGTCTGAATCATTATACGTTTGGATTGTGTCTAAACATTTCCAAGCTTTTAATTTAAACCAAAAGAACAGATTAAGAAAAACAATACAAGGAGATGACTTTCTATTGTTTTATTCACTGGCTAAAAGAAAAGGAAGCATTCATTCAACACTAAATCAACATTCGGCAGGTTGGCCTATCGAGTGTACTCCATTCATGTCAGTTCAGAGGTTTTTTTTTGTTTTTTTTGGTTTCCATTGTGGCCTCCTTATTCTTTACAACAGGATGGTGAATCAACACTAATTTTCAATAAAACATGTCCTCTTGGATAGAGAGAGCTTTTTCCCTGTAGACTATTCCAAAACACAGCTGGGGAAATTTAAATTAGGCCAAATTGTGAGCGAAAAGTTTTTTTTTTTAAATGACACCTGTCTGTTGATGTAATTAAGGTGAGTTAGTGTGGAGAGTAATGTTTAAAAGTCTGCAGAGAGGGTTTTTAAAGTTGCAGATGTATTTGAAATCCGCTCAGTGGTCCTTTAAGTCCATCCAGCTGTGTTTTGGGTGAAGTCCGGCTCCCTGCTTACACAAAGGAGGATAAAACCCAGCGCGTACTTTAGCGAACACAGTCACACAGAAAGAAGCTTTACACTCGGAACATTCAACAATATTGATGGTTAAAACCACTTCTGCAAAAACATAAAACAACAACAACAAACACACTCACAATAACATAAATTCAGATTTACAAAGTCTGTGTGATTTTTATAATATACTTCATGTTCATAAACTGAACCTGGACAAGTGTTGCATAAGAGTATAACACGGTAATGCATTGTTGATACCTATACAAATATGCACTGTGTGAGTTTATATATATATATATATATCTATTTATATAGTTTATATTTCTTCCTCTATGGTTTTCTAAAGACGCAGCCGGGCGCTGTCAGCACTGCTTTTGCCCCTTTGTGGCCACTAGTAAGACTCCTGTTATTGCAAACTGTCCTGATTTTAAACAAATGCACAACATTCGTACCACGATAAAACTGGGGCCGTCTAGCCAGTCTCACAGAGACCAAGAGTGAGCCTGCCATCACCGCTGCTGCTGGGCTGGCTGACCAGAATCAAAACATCTCAAGACGAAACGATTCAAGATCTCACAAATCATCGTAAGGCCAAGTATTGTCACTGCAAGTTCTTATTAGGTTACATCTTCAATTCGACTCTGCGATAGTGAGAGAGCGAGGAAAGAAAAAGCAAATATACAAACAAAAGAAAGTTTGGATTATATGCATTCTTCTTGCATAGTTGTGAGGCTGGATTGGGCAGCAGGCCTGCCTGCCTGGTTCATTAGGAGGTTTGGCTCTCCAGACTTGACAAGAAAGACTTTGTTTAGAAGCCAGGAACATCCTATCCACAGTATCTGAGATCTAAATGAAGGTTGACTGCCAGTGAGCATGAATAGTCATCAGTTCCTTGATAAACATGGGCATTTCACAAATCTCTGGTGCACCAAAGCCACCGGCCAGGTTATTTTATCAGTGCCTTTTTGTCGTTTCGTTTCCAGAACTACGTAGCAGAAATAATCCGCTCATATTTTGTTCGTCATACTAAGCTCTGGTCCTAAAGACTGGAGAATCCAAACTTCCTGCTAAGAGCCCAACTGTTGCAATGAGAGCCTCCTACACATCTGCCTACACTTTCATACATCAGCGATGGTAAAGCAGTGCACGTTCGTGTCACTGAAACATGTCAGTATATTAATCTGCATTTCTCTTTGAGGTTAGTCTCGCAAGTACTCGTTTGTCTATAGCTGTAGCATTTAGGGGAAAAAACAAATATGTGAGGACACCCTGCCTTTCATCAGATGTTTCAGAAACGATACTCCTCCTTCATCAACTACCTTTATTTCCCACAACAAGGCAAATATCCTGAGCATCAACAATACAAAGTTGGCATGGTGTTGGCAAGGCGGACAGAAAACTAGCAACCTTTAATGAGCGTCTTTCTGTGGCTCCGACTCTGCGTCTACGCCTGTGCAGATCTGATGGGATCTGCAACTTTGGTACTAAAGAAAACACGTGCACTCAGTGGGTTCAGCATTGGCTGTTAGGTATCAGAACCTCACTTACAGTTCTGGGATTACAACAGTTTAAACACAACTGTTTCAGATGGAGTGAATTAGAGCTGACATTTAGGAGCCCTGCAACCTTTCAGGATAACTATGAACACACAACAGGCAGACAGAGCTGGCTGGAAACACCGCTTCAGTACATAATAAGCTTTTTAAAACCATTTTTATGGCAAGATTTATTAATCGCTCTCAGTTTCCAGCATTTATCTCACTGAAACATGTCTGTATGTGCTGTATAAACCTAGCGTAACCTCTGTGTAAGCAAGGTTAATAAAAAAACTTAACCAGCGTTCTCCAGCTGTGTATAAAGACCTTTACCTGCTGGACTGGTTTATAATGTCAAGGCCTTTTAAGTGAACTGACGCACAGAAACACTTCTGAATGGTATCAACACTCCCACTGCGATCAGACCAGCTGCTAATCTGATGCAACTCATCAGCACAATTCTTTCAAAAACAAATCTTTCAAAGTGAAAAAATATAAACTACAACAGTTTTCAGAGATTTATCACCATGCACACATTGCAGTCAAATAGTACGCTAATAAGACAGCCAGAGCAATCCTCCCCTTTCACGTTGAATGTCCTCTTCTTAGCAGCAAAACAACTGTGCAGCTTTAAAAAACCAGCTCACATCATTTCAGGCTTGCTGGCATTACTCAAGGTCATGAGCTGCTATCAGTAACAGAAAGATTTGGAAGCATCTGTAGGAATGTTCTGAAATCAAACCAACCTCTTTGTGCTTTTCTTTTTACCTTGCCTCCCTCCTCACTGTAAAACATGTGAAGGTCAGAAAGAAATGGATGGAGGCGTATGATAGTGAGCACTCTAAGCCCGACACTCTGTGCATCTGTGCTAGATTGAACAAATCTGGCTCTGATTAACGATGTCTCGGCAACAATGCACCCTGAGAGCCATTCGGAGGTAACAATTGTTTAAAGATGTGCAACAATGTTCCCAACCCTTTTTACACTGCAGGGAAACGCGCAGTAACGTAACCCAGTACACACATTTCATTTCTACAGACAGCTACCAAGAGAAGACTGGTTTTCTTACAGGTCCACTTTGGTTTTGTTCTCTCCAACCACAAGACACGACTGTTAACAAGTTCCAAAAGCAGTAAGGTTTGAAGTATAGCACAGACAGCGTCAAAAGCACAAAAAGAAAATATTGTTTAGTGAAAAATGTCAGATCACCAAGTATCAGACAAGGGTGTTGAGGATGAAACAATACAGTGTCTGTTTATTGACGGGCACTTCAGAGAGACCTGTGTCTGGGTTTAGCTTGTTCCACTGTGATCTTTGGCAGCTTCAAACAAGACAAAGGAGAACAGATCCACATGAGGACTGAGCTAAAGTTGGCGTCCACCCTCCTCTAAGAAAACCAACCGTACCCTGAGAGCAAACGGTTTCTGTTCCTGATTCGTGCAGCGGCAGAAGTGATACGACTCCACGGCTGAGCATACTCACCTCCTGTCAAGCACACACACACCCACGTGCATCCTCTCAGGTGTGTGTGCAATGTACGAGAGCTCCGTGACTGACAGCTTGTTCACACAGCTTTACTGCATACACACAAAACAAGCCAGGAACAGTCCAAGAGAAGTTAAATCACTAGTACAGAAACTGCAGATGCGGAAACATGCGACGCTGCTTATTTAAACTGTGAACTCAAATCAACAACAACCAACACGTAACACCGAGCCGCTGACTTAAAGCTGAAGTTTAGTGAGACTTCAGAAACTTTCACATGGCTCCAAATTTACCCATCGTCAGCAACACATGGAGATTAGTCTCCCCCGTGATAGTTTTTAAAATGAGCAATCCCAGTTTGTTAAGGACTTTGCTCATGGAGATGGCGTTTAAAAGGTAAATATACTTTTTTGGGGGATTGAGTTTCTCCAGTTCTGTCACATAACTCTTTCCAAGAACATGTCTATAATGAAAGCTTATCGATACGTTCACCTTATCATGTCTGTTTAGGGACCATCACGCCAGAAATAAGTTTTTCTACACGTCTAATGAGGAAACTTACAAGTAGAGTTATGTTTTATGCAACGCTTGAGTGGGAATATTAAAACTAAAATGTTTTCCTTGCTCAGTGTCACTAGAACTGGAAAAAAAAAAAAAAAAACTCCACATGGCTGATCTGAGACTAGTAAACACAGGAAGTAGTTTTGTTTGAAAAATAAATAAAATTGTTTACTAGCTGAGATCCACATTCAAATAAAAAAAAAAAAAAGAAAAAGCTGAGCTTTCCGTATCTCACACAGTTGGAATCAGAACAGTGCGACCTTCCAACGCTTCAAATGACGCACATAAAAACGACAAGCGGGGGATCTTAAAAAAGGGAAGGACCAGGACACAATAACCAACTTTTGTTTTGAGAAAATTCTGTTGGCATTTCCATCCTTTGTAGGTGTTTGAGTGTGCAGCGCTCTAAACAGCCACAGAGAGCTTTACAAAGAAACTCTTGGTACCAAAGTGCATTATCCTGAGATATGAACCAAGGACTTCACAGATTATCATGGCAAAACCATCAAGGTCCCTTAACTTGAGAGCAAACATTTGGTAACCACAGGCCCATCACAAGGCTCGACTCGTTCTGAAGCTATAAAGTGCTGGGTGACAACAGTTTCATATCAGGACAAACAAAGTAACTGCAAGTCAGCCTTGTAAACTAACAAAACTTAATATGGACCGTCATATTCTACAACCTCTCTCTTAACAATGCCTGAGCTGACAATCTTCTGATGAATTTCATCCTAACTTAAATTTCTTCTTAAATCCTCCCAATAGATGTCTTCATAAGACACCAGAGCACAGCAGTTACAATGCTGGAGCATCATCTGGGCTCAGTTAGCATCCAGTGATGCTCGCACCTGTCATGAACTCAAGCCATTTGGTCTAAACATGTGTGAACATGTTAGCACTTTGTGAACAAATATCAAAAAACAAGTTCGTCTGGGTCTGACAGACATCATCCCTTCAGCTCAGACATTCTTTTAGGCCCAGTAGGTCACATATCGACAGCATAGATACAAACATGTGCAATGAGCAGCTAGGTCTTGCCATTCTTTAGCCTTTATCAACCTTAATCTCTGAAAACAAATGTATGATTAGGTTCATTAACCCTCTAAACTAAAGCAAAATGAGGGTTTATCAGATGGCAAGAAAAACATCTACAACAAGAACACTACCTGGAGAGACTGGGGGTGTTTTGCAAGGCAACTGTGACTAAAGAGGAAAAAACTGATTGTTTCGCACATCCTTCTCATCAACATCACCGTTCTGATCCGAGCGATGTTACACGCCTTCCTGAGGTGACAGAGAAACTTTCAGCCACGAAAACGAACCACGCGTCCTGAAACCTTATTGTGCTAAACGTGCCAACGACACACACACACAAAAAAGGGGCGGTGTTGGCTGAGTGGAGCATACGATGTTTAAACTAAAAGTTTTTAACAATTCAACAGCCCTGGCAAGATATGCATTTGCCAAACTTCTGGGACATATACAGCTGTTGAGTAAGCACATGATGGAAAAAACACAAAGCTCACAGTTAAACGTGAGCCATTACATTCAGTGTATCCATTTTCACCCTCTACTCTTAATCATGAAATGTTCTTCAGTGAGAAACTGGTTCCTTACAGTACTGCTGGTATATCTGCCTCCTGAGAGCTGCGCCTACAGAATACTGCTGCTGTTTTAGCACGATCTCACCAAGAACTTGGAGGAAAGTACAAAGATATTGTAAAAAAAAAAAATACATGGCATAAACAAAAAACAGTAAAAGCAGTCTTTTCTCTCTAGAATGATCCAAGATATCAGAGCCCTTCAGGTGCCTACATGTCAGGAAGTAATTAAAATTACAACATGGATATCAAACAGCAGAGCTGAAAACAGGGCTCAGAATCAGAAAGATGGATGGAAAAATCCAGAATGATGGAAAAAGAGAAGATTTACAACCAGTGTAGTACAGATCAAAACATAACACATTAACAATGTGTTTGCTTTTTTTTTTTAGTTTGGCTCTGAGAGTTGATCAAACTATCAAGGTTCACCAGAAACTGAGCAGGATGGGAAGTGCAGTGGCTGTAACAGTAATCTCCACAGTACCACCAGTAGGGTGCTCAGGGCCGATAAAACATTTTGACCTTAAAATGCCCCTTTTTAAACACAATCCTGCTGCTGAATCACCAAAACTGATTAGCCACAGCTTGCCACATTCCCAGCCTGTTGACAAGGCTCTGGAGTAAGTGCACAAAATCGTCTTTCAGAGGAACAAGGCTACTCAGGAAGTTGTTGATTTACACACTCCAGCCATGGCTCTATCACTCAACCTGCCTGTCCTTGTCCCAGCTGTGCGCAGGAGGATAATAAAACTGGATTTAAATGCACACGAAGCCTTTACAGGCAAGGTAACTGCCACACAGGAAATAAAAACGGTAATACGCAGAACAGGGGGACATGGGAAACAAACATAAAAGGAAAGACAGAAAACAAATCAGTTACATTTTACAGAAGCTCTGAAGGTTTAAGGGGATGAAAGAAAGCACCGAACATTTATCATAAAGACCAGACCAGGCCAAGTGGGTATGACTTGTTTTACAATCTTTTTAGTTTTCCAATTGTTAGGTCACAGAGAAGCACTTCCTCCAACTAAATAAATGTCTCTTTATTTGATTATTTTTAGGGAATAATATTAATTCAAAGATGTATTTAAATCATGAAAATCTAAATCTGTGCTCAGGTCTGTTTTGGGGAATGACTTGGCCTGAATTGGTTGGCCTGATCTGGTCTTAGCAGGGCTTCAGCTGTGATGTGTCGGGCTGGGTTAGCCCCCTCTTGCCTACATCCCCACGCAGAAGGCGTGCAGCTCGCGGTGGAAGTGCTGGGTGGGCTCAGACAAAACTCCGCTGGAGTCCAAGCAAGGGTGCCAGACACGACTCAGGCCCAGCGAAACCTCCTTCACCAGGTTATGGACCGGGTCTCCCTCCATGTACAGGGACTGGTCCGGATCAAAGTCGATGCTCTCTTCAGAGACGGTCAGGACACGAAGGCTGGAGCCGCGGAGTCTAGAGATTGCCACCAGGTTATGGGACCACACAGTGTAACCTGCAGACAGAGACCAGGCAGCTTGACTCACACTGAACCATTTCGTTTCAAGAGGGCCAAATAGAGTTATTTAATGTAATCGAAGTGAATTAGAAAATAAATATTCTTTAAGATGGATAATCTTGAAGACATTTCTAGACCTTTTCTTGTTGTAGTATATGT